TATATATATATATATATAAATCAGTTTCAGTGTTGCATAATTGCTGCGTTTTGATTGACATGTTTATATTTGATTGAAAAAGGCTTAAGTAAATATTAAATACATTAATTCTTTTATACTTTAAATTTATAAAAGCACCAATCTTCAGACAGTGACTAGCTTAGATAAACACGTTTTTAGATACATTAAGCCTAAAAGTATTTGGACACTTTAGCTACACATACATGTATGTTAATGTATTACATATCAACTCAAATGGAATTTTTTCAAGCAAAACATTTCACTAAATGTTGTTTAAAATGACGGCAAATGCACTGGTTGTCAAACGTTAGTGGTTGATGTGATGAACACCTGACTTCAAATCATGATGACATACTTTACATAGATTCAAAATCACATTGACACAGTGAATTTATTTGTGAGAAAAACTCAAGCATCTTCGGTTTACAGATTCCAATTGATTTGATATTTTATCTGACATTCATAAATTATGTTCATCAAGTGTGGCCACTATATCTGCTATAAATGTGGTAGCTTTACGTATGCCAGAAGATTTCCATTTCCATTAACACAGAGTAAATCAGTTTTACAATAAATATTACATTAATTTTTTTATTTTATTTTGAAGTTTAAATCCAGATCTAAGTAGGACACCAGATTAACCATTTTCCCACTAAGGTGTTTATGCTTATATGCTGCATAAACATGTACATACTGTCATGGAATGTAGTTGGAAGAATACATTGTTCATATTTGAGGATTAACTACACCGAGCTTTCAAAACGAGTTTAGCTTTAAAACAGCACCTCAGAAAGCGAATTCAGGTTTACATACATTTAATCATAATTGTGACCTTAACTATGTGAATTAAATTCAATTAATTCTGACGTGCTGCAGCATGGATGATATCTAAGCCCAGACAGGTGTTCACAATGGCTCTGTGTCAGAATGTTGTTGTGAACCTGGCTCGGCCTGAGAGGAACTGCTGTCTCGTATTACACTGCATCATTACAACATAACAAACACCTTTCCAAAGCATTACTTTAACACAGACGTGATGCTTGCTCTCACATAAAAATAACCCCAACACTGAGACAGATGCCAACAACCCGAGATATAATAATAAAGTAAATATTACATAACACACAACAGAATGGAGTGATTCAGACTTGTAAACCTTTAAAAGCATTAAAGTGCCCAAGGAAAGACGTGGTGGCTAAAAGTGAAGATGCTGAGTCATGGTCTAAAGAGCATTCTCTGGGTTTAAAGCTGAATTTAGAGCCAGCGAGAAGGGCAGGGAGTTAATATATTAGTGCTCTACTTCCTGTGTCATGGCGCCCATTTGTAATATAGATAGTACAACTTCTATTTTCATCTAGAAGTTACTGGCCCAAATTCACATTGCATGTTCATAAACTGACAGCTTACTGTACGGTCAATCAAAATTCTCTTAATATTATGGTTTCAGGAAAATGTTAACATAGAATAATTCAGGTTTCCAACTTATGGTTCTGGAATTCCTCTGCTTTTCAGTTGCAGAAAGATTGAGTCTGGTCCATTCAAGCAGATTATCAAATATCAAATCTAGGTTATGGATAAAACTCCATTAAGTTAAAAATAGCATACATAATCCTTGCAATACTACATAAATCGCCAGTGAACATCCTGAGAAACTGATGTCCTTGCGAACAAAAATAGTAGTTTTAAAAACACATAATACGAACATATACTTACGTTGCAGCGTGTTCTCCAGCTTCGAGCCTGCCTGCAAAAGGTTGTAATAGCCCTCCATATCTTTCTCGGGCTCCTGAGGAGAGGCCGAGCCCATCCCCTGGCTTGTTTTTTCCAGAGAGGAGTGACTTGACTCTGGGCCTGTCAGGCCCTCACATCCCACTCCACCCTGGATTCATCTCACACCTCCTCTGAACAAGCCCCAACTGAAGCTCGACTTCAGATCCGTGCTGCCACTCACGCCTCTGAACTCCCCATGTCACCTTGAGCAGGAGCAAGTGCATCCAGAAAGACCCCCTGCTGAAGGAAACAGGATCCGGAAATATCTATGGCAAACAGCCCACTGCAGCCGATAGTGGCACTGCAATATCACATCTCAGCTTACAAAAACCTCACACACGCAAGTCAGGGAGGGGCAGAGTGGATGAGGTCCTGTCCCAAAAGTGAATCGGATTAAAAGGGTTTCCTGTCAACAGTGCTGACGGTCTGCTCTCTTTAAAAACACCACACACACTCCCTCCGGCTGCAAACTCCCTTGAGTTAAGAGTGCGTCAGATCTGCATCGCTCTGTAGACTAGACTCACATTATTAACACTCTGCCAACTCCCTCCCCACTGACTTTCTCCACTGTGCAGTTTAGACTCCGCCTCCTGCTGATCTCCACCCTCCTCATTGGTCAGTTTTCCCTCACAGGCAGTAGCTTAAAGGGATCATATGATGCTGCTAAAAAGAACATTATTTTGTGTATTTGGTGTAATGAAATGTGTTTATGCGGTTTAAAGTTAAAAAAACACATTATTTTCCATATACTGTACATTATTGTTTCTCCTCTTGCCCCACC